TCTGGTGATCTTACCTTGGAAGAAGCTCTGGATGTTATATTTAATACAAAAATATGCTTTTCTAGTACTGATATGTTGCAGAGATGTAATGGAACAAGTAATGGGAATGAAATGGTTCTTACTGATATATGCCTGGGCATTGCAAATGATAGGTTGCTTCAAATCAATGCCATTTGTGGGCTCTCCTGGATAGGAAAAGGTTTACTTCTACGTGGTCATGAAAAGATTAAAGACATCACTAAGATTTTTATGGAGTGCTTAATATCAGGCACAAAGAGTGCCTTGCCTTTGATCAAAGATTCTCTTGAAAATACTGAAGAGCAGATTCAGGATCCTTTAGTTATGAAATGTGCTGCTGATGCTTTTCATGTTCTTATGAGTGATTCTGAAGTTTGTTTGAACAGAAAATTTCATGCCACAATACGGCCTCTATATAAGCAGCGATTCTTCTCTTCTGTGATGCCTATCATTCTGCAGTTGATTACAAAATCTTACTCCTCATTGTCTAGGTAGATGTATTGTTCTCACTCTCTCTCTTAGACACACAAAAATACTCATAAATGAAACTACTTTTCCTTCCAGTGACATTCGTTTGTAGCTTATTTTTATTTTTATTATTCTGAATTTTTGGTGCCTTGTTAACTAAAATTGCGTGCAAGGTCCTCCGTATACATACAAAAACTGTAGTACTGCAAAATGTCTAATGAGTTGTTTTTATTGGGAGTTTTGCTTTATACCATTTCCCTTGCCTCTACAAATATCTAAACTGCTGTTTCTGTACTATGTCAGATCTTTTTTGTATCGAGCTTTTGCACATATCATGTCTGATACTTCAATGGTTGCTATACTGAGTGAAGCTAAAAAGGTTAGTTTTAGAAAAAATTTAAATTGCAGTAATTAGAATTACGTATGTTAATTATTCTTATCAGAACACTATGTTGGATTTTCTTGATCAACTACTTTTACTAGACTAAGTTCCCTGGCAAATTTTGCAGCTTATACCAGTTCTATTGGATTGCTTGTCCATGTTGACAGAAGATATCCAAGATAAAGATATGTTGTATGGTCTGTTGCTAGTCTTATCTGGGATGTTGACGGAGAAAAATGGTAACTATCATTCTTATAGTATTTTTTTTAAGGTTATCTGAATCTCTTTAGGGTTAAGATATTGATTTATGGCTTAGTGTAAATTTCAAGTTCTCATACTGATTAATTTATTTTCCTTTTTGGTTTCTTTTTATAATTCCTTAGTGGTAAATAAATTGGTTTATTATAAGGATTTATTGTGAGTTAATATTTTCACAATGACCTTGATCATCAGTCATTATATACCTGATGCTAGATCTAGTGTAATATCTGGTATTTGCACTTGTCTAAGAAAGCATTGCCATACTATTCACAATTGTGTTGGGGAAGAAGATGGTGATGACAATATAAATATGCTGTCTTATGTAAACAAACTATGATCATGTATGCAGGACAAGAAGCTGTTATTGAGAATGCACACATTATCATCAATTGTCTGATTAAGCTTGTAGACTACCCGCATAAGATGGTATGAGAATTTACCTGTACACGTTATTTACTGCTCAAATTTGATGACTGAAGTTGTCTTATATAGTAACTTCATTGCCTGTTAGACATGCCAGTTTTTTTTTAATTATTGGACTAGGGGGTGAGGAATTGGGTACGTCATTAACTTGCTGTCCCGCTAGCTAGCACTTGAAACTACAGGGCCAACATGTCAGTTTGAATAGTCCAGACATGTTTGCTGTTTTGGCTACACATTAGGGCCAGCAGGAAGGGCCCTGAACTCCTGGCTCCAATTTATTATTGGGTTTTTGCCCGAGTCCAAAGCCAAGTTACATCAATAAAGCTTACATATACTAATTTATCTACCAACAAGATATGATATAATTGGTAGATAATCTTGTCTCTTAAGCATGTAGTTAGAGGTTCGATGCCTGGTCAGTGTGTATGAAAAAACATTTGTTGGGAGAAATCAATCCTTTAAATTGATCTTGATAACTAGGAAGATTAGTCTTTAGCTTTCGGTTAAGGGATCTTAATTTACAAATAAAAATAGTTTATGCTCAACAATGCCTGTCAAAACCTTTAGACCCCTTTCATCATATTGTTTCCATCTTATTGTCTTAGACCAATCAAAGTCCACAATGACGTTAATGATTGATTTCTTCTCGTCTCGTTGTGCAGCTTGTTCGAGAGACAGCTATTCAATGTCTTGTTGCCTTGTCTGAGTTGCCCCATGCCCGTATCTATCCTATGAGGACACAGGTTTGTCATGCTTTTAGCTTGAAAGGATGATTATTAACTTTTTGAGAAGCATTCTTATTGATCTTCTATCATGACTTGAATAGAATGCTCTTGATTCACATTTCAAGCTGTGTTCAATGTTTGAATCAACTTGTTCATATAGATATTGTGGGTGGTGTTGATCACTTTTTTATTTTATATATATATATTCATTATTTTGGAACCAGGGTGTAAAATATTTTTTCGTTATTCTTCGAGCTATTTTATATTTTTTTTATTATATTAGGTTCTACGAGCAATATCAACGTGTCTTGATGATACAAAGAGAGCTGTTCGCTACGAAGCTGTCAAATGTCGGCAAACATGGTGGGTACATAACTTTTTTTTTATAGAATGTGTACAATTCTACTTGGTCCAATTACTGTTATACTTGCCAATATTTACGTTTCTGCTCGACCTTTTGATAGGGCGTCAATGTCATCCAGAAGTCTTCATTTCTGAAGTTCAATATCAGCTTCCCTAGCTATTGGAAATGCTTTTGAACTTTGTGTTCTAATTAACACAGATTCTTTCACCAAATGGGCCATCTTTTGAAATGGTGTAAGTAAAATAACTTGTAAATATTAAAGTTTATCAATGTTAATGTCCACTCCTATAGCTGCGTTAATGAGAATTTGTTACGTCAATCATTTCCTGATGACATGCTGACACGAGTGTAGCTGTCACTTGAAACATTGAATTTTTCTTGGAATTTGAACGATAGAAGATGGAATTGGAATAAATAGATGATGATGGGTCTCATGAAATTTTCTGTTATATTGACGAGGACGAATCATTACCGGACATTTGTCCTGTTTAGCTTGACTGGAAGTTTTAATTTATACTTTTTTTTTCATAGTTGTTTTGTCAAGATTTGTTATTTTTTTTTATTGTCATTTTACTAAAATCAATGACTTATTAATATTTTTTTTTCATTTTTACTCTTGATAAGTAATACATGTTTACTGAATAATGTGTGTATTTATTTTTAATGTCTACCTATTTTTTTTTCAATTACTCATATAAAGTTAATGTGCATTTATAAGAACAATATGTTCCCAACAAAATATTATAAAAAAATAAAAAAAGGGACAAGTATAATTAAATATAGTAGGTTACAGTTCACGTGTAATCAATGCATTAATAGTTAATGGAGTAGATTGTAGTTCAACAGTCTCACAAATGCAAAAAAAAAAAAAAAGGTAAAATAGGAAAGTAAGTAATAAATATTTTTAAAAATTAAAATATCAATAATTTCCTTAAGTCTCGTGAAAAATTTTAATCGACTATAAAAAAAAAATAGAAATGGAAGGAGTAGTGAATTTCGTCTTTATGTTTATGTGTCCATGATTAGCTACGTGATGCGCTGCATCACATTTGCCAAGATTTGGTGGATAATTAACTGTAGGAGCTAAATTGACTAATAGAATTTGATTTTAAAGATCTATTAAACATTTTTCTAATTTCAAGGATTATTATCACTGATGTATAACTTAGGCATTAAAATGATAATTTACTTTTAAGTTTTTTTTTTGTTTACAGAATAAAATTGCTTTTTTCCCGATAATGTGCATAAATAGGTCAAATGCAACGCTAAAATGGGCTTGGTTACTTTATTTATAAAAAAAAAATTGAAGCCGCATTGCAATTGGTACCACTATTGCTGGGCTTCGGGTACAAACTATAGATTTGAATTTTGTTGGGGGAAGTTTTTTTTCAAGGTTTTTTATAAAATGAAAAAGCTTACTTTCTAAAGTTTCCCACAAAATATAAAAAAAAAACTCAAAAATTAAATAAGTTTACACTCAGTATATCGACTCATCCAAGACTGAGAAACCACTTTATATATAAAAATGAAAATAATTATTTTGTATGAGTGTTTGTAAGTGTTTTTTTTTTTAAATAGAGGGTTTTGAGGATTTTTTTAGAAATTTTTATCCATTTCAGTTTATATTTTCATATTTATTTTTAAATTAAATTATCAACAAATAAAATGATTATTTTATCATAAATTTAAAATATATTTTATGAATTAAAAAATATATTCAAATATAATAAGTATAATAATTATATTATATATATATAATTATGTCAAATTTTAATTATATAAAATAAATGTTTAACGTGCAAATACTAAAATTCTAGTTAATTGCTTAAATTTTTTGATCCGTAGTTCATTTCTTAAAAGTATTAAAACAGATTCTTTAAAATATTATTTAATACGCGAAAATTTTTAAAATTATGAGATTACATATTTACGGTGTTCAAACTCCTTCGACTCGGGCCAATATATACTTATCAAAAAAAATATTTGGTGAATTTAATAATTATCAATTTGATTATATGAATATGCAGTAAAGGAACTGTTTTACAAAAATTAAAAAAATATTTCAGCATTTTTTTTTACAAACTTAAACAATAGTCTATGAAAATTAACCAAATTATAAAATTTATTTGCCAAATAACAGTTTATGAAAAGGAAAGAACATAGAAAATATTTTTATTTAAAACATAATATCCGAACTTATCATGTATTAATTGCATGCCATGAAGAAAGGACGAGTTTAATTCCACAGGCACCCCCAAAAAGACATGCTATAGAGTTCCACGAGGTTGTCTAGATTCAATAAGCATTTAGGTTAGATACGGCTTTAGCAGAAGAACATGCATGTTTGTGTTTCTGTTGTTTGCTTTGGGAAGGGTTGTGGCTTTTTCCTTTTCAATTTTTACATATCATAGAAAAATAAAATGAAGAGAGTTGTGATGATTGAGCCCAAATAAGTTACATAGAGAATTACAATGACATTGCTTGTATTTTGATGTAAACTAAAGAGCTCTAGAGCAAGATTCCTTTCCTTGAGCATTTGAAAACAAAACTGATATTTGGAAGCATAGTATTAGTATCCCCAAAGGGGTCCTATTGCCTTTCCTAATCATGTGGTGAAATATGTATTCTTCTTCTTTCTTTCAGTTACAAAATTCACCAATTACATGTTGCCTTCATCAAATGCACATCCATAACCTCTTTACTTGGGCCGAAATGCTGTTTCCAAGGGCCCAGCTTGCCTAGCCAGCTGCACAAACAAAAAGGAACTCTCCCTAAGACTAAGCCAACAAATATATGCATACAAATACCACTCACTCACCTGAAAATATGTTTCAAGTTTCTTTCTGAGTGCTGCATATTCCTTCTTCATTTGTTGGAAGCTCCTCCTGCATCTGCATGTTCACACACATAATGAAGGGCACTCAATAAAATTTTAGTTTTATTCCCTTGAGAAAATGTTAGTGTGAATGAAAATAAAGTTAAAGCTGGATTACCCTTCTGCATTTCCTGCCCTGCAATATTCCCTAAACAGAGTGCATTCTGCTTTCACCTTTTTGGCTCCGATGCTGCAATCCACAACAAAAGAAAATTCATCAAATCATTAGGATTCACTGTTGTATCAAATAAAGCCAACAGTGGTATGTGCTTTTTTTCTTTCTATTTTATATAACTAGGACATAATTTTCTCCTACCGGTCGACCGATAAAGTGATACTTCTAGATAATAATTCAGTTATGATTATTAGGTATACCTTGAGCTGCTTCCTTTGAACTGGTGCATGATTGTGTCCAGTTTGTTGAAATCCAGTGGGTTCCTTTCGCTGGCATAAGCACAGGAATGATAGTTAACAAAAATAGAAGCAGAGAATGTAAATGAAATATCAAAAAACATGATGGAAAATGGTTAACTAACAGTGTTTGGTCCAAGTTAGAGATAAGCCTGGAGGAATCGCGGTAGTAAAGAGTGACAATTTCCTCAACAAAGTTAGGATTAGCATCATCCTGCAATTCTTCCAGTTGGATAAACTGCTCATCCAGATGTCCCTGCAAATCCAAAGTGGAGTATGAAGAATGAAGAAGCTGATGAATAGAATTGTGCATGACTGCATGTCTTTGGTTAACACTTAACACACAAACAAACCTGATCAAAGAGGGACTGTTTGATTGCAGCAAGGTGTCTGAGGGAATGGGTTCTGTTTCTGTCCATTGTTGAAAATGAAGAATAAAGAGAAAGAGTGAATTCTTGTTTAACTTAATGGACTCCCAATGCATGGTTTCCAAGTTGGGATAGCACCGGTTTTTATATGGGGAGGGAGAGTATCATCAAACTCACAAAATAAATACACATCATTTTTTTATTTTATCTCACAAATTTAAACAAAATATTATAAGTAATACTCACAAATAATATATTAAAAGTTCCTGATTCAAATACTTTGACATTTATGTTCTTTAATCAAAAATTAATATTTGATTCTCTTCTTGAATTTGGAGTCTCAATCATAAACATTACCCTATATAAGAAACAATTATACCTCTCTCTCTATATATATAAAATACATGTCAATCCTTATAATTAAGCTTCTGTAGGCTAATAAAATTATTATAAAATTGTTTTGTATGCAAACCTATTTTTAAATTTTTTTATAAATCTTTTTTAACTAATTTATGAAAATAACCCAGTTTAGATGTTATTAATTATTTTTTTAAAATTTTTATTGTCACTAATTTGTTTGAATTTTTTTTTCCACTTTAAATAATTAAACATGTCATTTTATATTTATTAATCACTTTATTAATTAATTTGATCAACCATTTTAGTTCAATCATTTAGTTTAAAATTTTTCAATTTTTCAATTTTTCAACTTTTTTTTTCTTATATTAATTAGTTGGGAAGATTCAAAACCCATGTTTGAATGACTTGATGATCACCACACTTGTTATGATTTAGTTACTACATGCCAGAAATACAACATATAACATATCTAAGGTGATCATGCAACAATTATAAAATCAACATGTAAGCCGTATCTATATGGGGTAGAAGGATAAACTACTAAAAGTATAAACCCTCATGGACTATATACATACCATGCACAAGTATAAATACACTATATAAGTACATAATTGTATACAAGATAGACCATACGTTGTCAAACAACACCTATATACAACTTGACTATATCGGAATAGCCATGAACAAAACAAAGTCACCACCAACATGACTTACCATTGACTGCACAAGTTGTCTCACTAATCCTATTCTGCTCCCATGAAAAATCATGATCGTTGCAGTTCCAACTACAAAGAAAACATAGGATAAATCGTCCTATAATCAGAACTAAGCATCTATCAATTTATAACTCATCACTATTAAAAACATCTCAACACATATCAACTTATAATTCATCAATAACACCATTTCATCACAACAACATATCTTATAATATCACAAAAGTATCAACACAAATAGCTTTGAAAAACTAATGCGTCATCACACACATCAACTAAAGATATCTCTTACAATAGGCTTGAACAGTTTTAGTGGCTAGATTTTACTGAACCATAATGTGTGACCTATCACAACCAAGTCAACTAACAACTCAATTTGATTTCTCAAGTTCACCACTTAAACTAGGAAATCTATGACTAAATTAGGGCCAAATTGAAACCAAAAATTAAAGTGAGACTAAATTGAAACTTTAAAATATTATAAGGGACCAAATTAGGCTTTTAGCCCTACTATCAGGGTAGAATAGTTTGGATATGAGTTTACCATAACATTAGTTTTCATCACTAAGACACCTATGAGATTAGCTCATTGACTACCCTCTAAGTACTTCGTCCCTACCATATTTGGTTAGGAACTAAGTCTTCAACTTTGTACTTTACTTAATTAGTCTCTTTATATATGTATGTTTCAACCTTACCCACATACGAATACCACATAAATCCTAAAGGAGATAACATACAACTTACCATTCAACAGTCAACTCACATAATGGGATATTTAATTTTCGAAGTCATCACTTACTCTTCTATGGTTTCATGTATCTTAAATAGGACATGTATCTCAATCACATGTTTAATAACTTAACAACTTAGCAGCTTGAACAACTCAACAATATACAACTTTACAACTCAATCATCTATCAATTATCCATCAACTTATAACATATAGATTCTTCATCATACATCATCATTAATACAACTTATTCATCATTATTCAACTTTTTAAACCACTTAAAACCACAACTTTCATCATGCAACTTGCATCTAGCGCCACTCATAGGACGTTTGACGTCATTCAAGTAGGGGGATCCTTATCTTGCTCACATATGACATCGAACTACCTGCACCCAACGTGGTTGAGGTAGAGAGTCTATCACTCTCTTATGTTTGGCATGACAAAATCCATGTTTGATCTCAATCAGGCAGATGGTCTCTACTTGACTCACGTTCGACACTACACATTAGCGCTCGATGCGAATCTTGGCAGTGTTAAGTCTATCTCCTCACACTTGGCACTATTCAATCCCATGCTCGAAGTGATTCCAATCCAAGACAATTCTCTTTCCTAATACCCAATACCATTGATCTTGCGCTTGACGTGAGTAAAATAGAGACCTTTCTTTTGGGTCATGCGCCTAGCACGATATTGATTTTTGCACTTATGCAGAAATTGAATTCAATCAAAATACCTTAAATTTCCGCACATAAAAACATGCAACCAATAACACAATATATATACATCACGTGTAGTTCAAAAACTTAAATATTAATTTATAAAATTTGGCTAATTTTATAATTTTTAGTCAGATGTTAATTTTACCAAATATATTTAATATTTTATTGAAATAGATATAAACACAATATGAAATAAAGTATATCAGAAAAAAAATAGTCACACTTAAAATCTTTAATAAAGATTAACGATAGATATTTTATATTAAAATCATAATTAAAAAATATATATGATTGATTACTTGCATATTTTACTTAAAGTTTAGCATCATATTCAACTAAAAAGTGTTAGAATGATTGATGGATTTAACTTGTGAAAAATATAATTTTTACTTACTATTGAATAATTTTTATTTGTCTTAATGAATTAGATGATTAAATTTATGTCATAAACTTTATGTGATAAGACGTTATAAAATAAGTATTTACTTATGTTATTTAATCAAACGCATCCTATATATTCCACCAAAGTACTTAAAAACAAAACTTTATGCAAGTAATTAAACAGAAAACAGGTTTAATACTTTAGATAGCACCATTAACAACAAACATAGTGCTGGTACGGAGCACTCGGCGCATCATTTGAGATTTTGTTTAAACACAAAAATAAAATAAAATAACGAAAATTGAATTGACAAGATACGAGTCATGACGTTCGACTCATTTATCCAAACACGTATCATTCAGCATTTGAGATGAAAAACTAAATAAATAAATTATGCATCAATATATTGAATCGATATTTTGTTTTAAGTTAGGGTGTAAATGAATTAGATTGTCTTGGGATTGGTCTGATTTAAGACATAATTTAATAAAACATAATTTGAACAAGTGAGTTGGGTTTGTGTATTTTAATGAAGCAATCTAACCCATAATTTGAATTTAATTGGGTTGGATCGAGTAATCAAGTAAATTTATTAAAATATTAATATATTTTAAAATAAAAATGGAAAATGAAATATAAAATAAATTTTCAATATTTTTTCAAATAATACTAATATAGATTATGATTGATGCATGTCTTAACTAAATATATAATTCATATTTTATTATTAATATTAATTTTGTGTTGAATTAATTGGGTTAGGAACCCATTAACTCGTTATTCAACCTAGAATTTTTGAATAAGTTTTGGAGATTGAGTTGTTATATTTAATAACTTTTTATACAATATATGATAAATGTGTTGTTTATTTGTTGTGTTTTGTAACTTTTCCTTGTATTATAAAACCTATCCGATCCATTTCACTGGTTCCAATTGTCTATTGTCAATTTAAAAAATAGCGAGAGAAAATGTACCAAAGTGGAAGGGGTTAATTCCCAAGTGAATCAATGTTCAAATTTCCATTTGAAAGAGATATTACATTTCATATTTGATCATGCATGTCTCAAATAAAATTGACTCCAAAAAAGATACATCTGTAAAAATTTAGTTTTATTAGTTAATCATATTATTTGAAAATATTTTAATTCAAAAGTAGTTTTTATTATAAACAAAAGAAATGGGCATCGTTAGATATGGATGCGGTGACTGTGTGGCACCAACCAAATGCAAATTCTCTGAAAATGAGATAAGAAAGGTGATGGAGGGAAGATGAAGATGCATTGACATATTCCTTTGTATGCTCTACGGATGCATAAAACAAAGAAAGAATAGTTAAGGCAGAAATTCTTTCCCTTTTTAATAGGAGACACATACCAAATTAGCATATGTCCCACTCAACTTAGTTGATCCCAAAATATTAATTAAGACATTCCTAAAACAATATTATTGGGCATCGCATGAGACAAAGAATTTATCCTAAAAGAGACCCCCAAAAGATTGCTTACGGCCATAAATCATATAAATTATTACACCATCTTACAATACAAAATCATTTCTTTCATCACATTACATTCATTCACTACCCGACCTTAGCACAGCCTCCAGGGACAACTGTTCCAGGTCCCAATTTTGAAGGGACAAAAACAATTATTTACTCTATATAACATTAATTAATTATGAACAACTAATTAATTAATAGATAATTTTTCACTTTTCAATAAAAATATACTCATAATTTTAGAAAAATCAATCTATAATGTTAAATATAAAAAGGAAAATGTAGTAAATTATTAATTTTTTTTCATTTCACCATGAATATCTATTAACATAAAATCATTAATAAAATTTGTTCGAGATTTTCTCTTTTTTTTCCTTTACATTTAATTTCTCTTACTCTCTTTTTATTCTTTGAATTGTAATCTCTTTTACTATGTTAGAATCAAATTGTGAATCTCAACTTTACGATTATTATGAGCTTCTTTGAGATCTGTCACTATTATCTTTCCCTTTTTCATTACACAATAGTCTTTAAAAATAGTTTTTGATCTCATACGAAACAACTATATTATATTCTAGTCATTTTTTTAGCAAATGTTTGCTGGATTTTTTTTTTTCTTGTTTAAACATTTGAGTTTGAGAATTAGAGTTGGCCCGCATGCATTATATGTGTTTTAAGAAGGTTTACAACATGAAGAACATACTAGAAAAAAAGGTGGAGAATGTTATTGATTCCATGAAAAGACATTTATTAATATTTAATTGAGATATTTATTTGATATATTATACTTCTCATCAATTATAGAGTGAATAACAAATCATATCAATATAGAGTTTTATGTCTCTGAACTTCTAATGTACAATAAGTAATATTAAAGTAGATAGTTCAACTAATTGATCAACTCAAATGAGTATTAGTTAATATAATTGAGTGAATTCAAGAGTATAATCTCTTATTGAACAATAGAATTGACAAGCGATCTAAGGGTAATATTGTATTAAAAGTCTTCCTAAAATGTGGAAGAGGTGGCTAATTGATGAGAATTAATGATGATACAAGTAAGCTATCATTGAATACTCGTTAATGAAAAAAAAAATTCTACTCAAAAGGAACATACCATATAAAAAAGTTAAAAGATTCACACATAAAAAAAGAATTTCAAATGAAGAAAATTTCACATCAACTACGTAGAAAATATCTATAATTTGAAGTTGACTTACGATGCAGTAACAAGTTTTTTACAATAACTTATTCACTACCAATGATAAGGTGATTTTAAAACTCCCGACATGTCGTGCACCATCTAATTGATGTTTTATCCTCGTAATTATTTTTTCTAATCAGTAAAAAAGCGATAAGAAAGATGTAACATAAAACTTTGTGCTTACCGGTCTAATTTGGTTGGAGACAAAATAGAAGAAGAAAAAAATGAAATTAGTTGATTTCTGTTCTTGAACAATTAGCATTGTGGTTAGAGTTTACACAACACGAGTAGAACAGAATTAGCAAAACTTGTAGTGCTGAAAAGAAGACCACGTCAGATTTGAGTGTGGCGAGATATGGCGCCAAAAATTTCAATGATTGACATAAGAATGAGTGGTCCTGGTCATTTGTTTCTCTCCAATTTCAGCATAGCAAGATTGTTTAAAAGAGAAAGAAGTGTTGCAGAAGAGATTCTCTTTACATTCTTTCTTTATTCGTAATTCGTATGTCACAGTGCAGTGAAAGAACAATGCAAGGGCGTATTTGATCTACGCTACAGTTTCTCTTTTTTATTATTTATATTTTGTATTGTAAATGTGGTCACATCTGCTCCTTTGAGGTGGGTGGAAGGAAGAGGATCAGAATCTCTCTGTCTTTTTTAACATTCTTGGTTTTATTTTATTTCTTCTTTCTCTTGTCACTATCTCCTATGTTGATAAGAATCCCACCATGGACAATCATCGTTCTCTCTATGTGAAACTCATTTCCTAACGGATCCATATAATATAAAATTTGCATCATCAAGACACGTGTACGTCATTTTTCCAAGCCATCTCGGGGTATGTACCATTACAACCAACACCCATGCAGAATCATATTCATTGTTACCAAAACAAATTAATAACACACGAATTTACAAATTAATACTGCACATGCCAATCTAGGATGACTGCAAAACTAGTCTTTAGGTTTCTTTTAACTATAAATTATTTCAAACACAGTTAAACTAAACAGGCTAATAACACGAGGTCAGAAAACTTTGGCTGCATCTCCTAAAGAGAGGAAGATCCAATTGCATTGAAAGGGACATGATTGGAACACATAGAATGTGTTTAGAAAACAGTTGAGTTGAACTCAATTAGAGTTAAAAATATAATTAAACTCACAAGCTTTTGCTTTTTTATCAGAATACATGTGTTTTCATTCAATATGATTTTAAACTGGTATCATATCATACATATAGCGAGTGAAAAAGCATATATAGCAATTGTTTTCTCTTTTTTTTTTTTTTTTTTTTTT